CGTGATCTTTTAATATAAATGTTAAAAGAAGACTTAACATTATTACTGTCTCTGTAGATTTCTTATCCTGGACTTCGTATAAAGTAAAACAAACTGCAGCCCCCATCAGTAACAAAATCAAACAGAAAAACCTCAAGGCCAAGAAAGCCGAACATAAGTAAAACTAGAACAAATTTTAAATGAGCCAGATGATAAGGTGTTACATTTTAACTAAAGTCTATCTGCGTGCACCCACTTTCCTTTTAAAAATAATTGGTCTTTTATGGAAAATAATTTTTAATTTAGAATTGATCTTTGGGATCATTGATATCTTCATAATGAGTACACAATTGAAGAAAATGTCTTTAGCTTGACCCTGGTGGTGGTTGCACAACTCTTTTAGATATATTTCAATCACTGAATTGAATATGTGAACTATATGTCAATTAAACTATAAAAATTACATAAATAAGACTCAGCTTGGATTTGAATCTCAACACCATACCTCACCACACTCAAGACACTGGATGACCTCTTAATATATTCATACAGGAGCACGTCTCTGACATGGATAAAATGCTCAAAAGCCAGACTCCCTGTCATCAAGGTGATCCAGACTCAGTGACCTTAAAGGACAAACGAGAACTGCCCCTGGGGTTTTGGCGACTAAATCTTTATGGGATGAGGAAGCCTCTTCTTTCTCCCACGAAGCAGCTGGTGGGCTGGAACCATCGACCTTGCTGCACTGAGCCCAGCCCATCACCCACTAGGCCAGCCAGCACTTTGTCCAAAATGTATGACAAATGTAACTACGCAGAGGAAGGGCTGTGCTCAGTGTTTTTCCTTGCTGGGGTCTCAATCACAAATGGTGATCTGATGGCAGGGTCCCCAGCACTGACCTGTCCTGTGCTCCCCACTCCCCACAAGCCGGATACCCCAAGCTGTCATGGGTTCACTCCGACAGCCTGTGTTTATGAAACCCTGACTGTTTTACTAAGCCTTAGGCTCAGTGGTTTGCATTCATTTAATCGACGGTTACTGAGCGTCTAGGTGCCTGCTGGTGTTGGAGGCACTAGAAGCAGAGCCATGAGTGGGGTCACCTGACATCCCTGCCCTCAGGAAGCGGACACTCACGTGGGTCAGACAGGCAAGAGACAGCGAGTAAATATATCGCTAGCACCTCAGTGATCCGTGTTATGGAAAAAATAACCTGAGGGGATGTGCTCCAGAGGCTTTGGGGGTGGGGATGACATCAGTGAGAGGGAGAAGTGACAGCCTTTCCAAGGAGGTGGCATTTGAGCTCAGCCTTGCCCAAATAACGAGAAGGAGTTGGACCTGCCCATCACAGGTGGAAGAACATTCCGGGGGAAGGGGGGGCAGTGTTAAGCCCCCAGCTCCACACTGACTGCCTGCCATCGAATCCATTTCAACTCAGTGACCCCATGGGACCGGGTAGACCTGCCCCGGGGGCTTTCTGAGGCTGTCCATCTTTATGGGAGCAGACAGCCTCCTCTTTCTCCCACGGCTCCTTGTGGCTGGTGGGGGCTGGGTGTGTTGAGTCATAGCAAGGGGGCCAAGATGGCAACAGCAGCAGGTGCCCGGAGGAAGCGGGAGATGAGCTCAGAGAGGCGCTGGCATGGGTATTTTTGTCCCCATTGTCCAGAGGAGGAAATTAGGGGTCAGGGAAAAATCATGTGTCCACAATTAGGAGGCAGGCTGTAAACAGCCGAGCCAGGGGGTCCATAATCAGTCCTCCATTGAGCCTCACACTTCCCCCGCCTCAGAGTGAAGGGCTTGATGGGGAAGAGAGTGATCTAACCTGCGCCTTCTTTTTTTTTGCTTCTACCAGTTCCCCTCTCTCAAGAACATGAGTCAGTAGCTCTAGAGGTGGCAGGGGGTCATTTGGGCCGTGATCCAGCCCCCGGGAGGAGGTGACATGAGCTCCTGGGGACACTTTCAGACTCTGATCTAAGCAGGGCTAGAGGACACCTCCTCACAGGGGGCATGGAATTCATTTGATAGTCACCATGCGGAAAAGTTGACATCAGATAGAGCAAGCCCAGAAAACCGGAGCACGCCACTCCTGCCCTAAAGGCTCTGGTGGTGCAGTGGGCTAAGCACTTGAGCTGCTGACCAAAACCCTAGGTCAGTGGTTCTCAACCTTCCTAATGCCACGACCCTTTAATACAGTTCCTCATGTTGCGGTGACCCCCAACCATAAAATTATTTTCGTTACTACTTTGTAACTGCAATTTTGCTACTGTTATGAATGTCATGTAAACATCTGATACGCAGGATGTATTTTCATTGTTACAAATTGACCATAATTAAAGCATAGTGACTAACCACAAAAGCAATATGTCATATATTGTGAAATATGTATTTCTAATGACAAATCAATGACATTTTGTCTTGAAGCATGGTGTAGCATGGGTCACAGTCTTCACGCCGGGTACTCGTCGGTGGGCGTAGCTGCACGTGGACGGACCTGCCTGGAGATGATAGAGGAGCGGGGTCTCGGTTCCTGAGACCATCGGAAATAGGGGTTTTCTGGTGGTCTTAGGCGACCCCTGCGAAAGGGTTGTTTGACCCCCAAAGGAGTCGAGACCCACAGGTTGAGAACCGCTGCCCCAGCTAGAGGCACTATGAGTTGGAATGGGCTGGCTGGCAGTGGGTGTGTGGGTTACATTGTATGAAATTTGTTTCTGCTAAGAACGGGGGTGTGCATGCGCACACGCGCATGTGTGTGTGTGTCCCAAGAAGCTTTGTTCATAAGCGCACACTGGAAATAACTCAGATGTCCACCAGCACATGGCTGATAAGGAAATCCAGGGATAGTCCCATGGTGGAATAGTACTCAGCGAAGAAAAGGAACAAACTCTTAGCACCTGGTCAGCATGGGCCCAGGCAAAAACAGTCCACTGAGTGAGAGACGCACGTCCACGACAAATGGGCATAAGCCATAGAGGAAACACGAAGCGAAAAACAACAAACACCCCACTGCCACTGAGTCACCTTCAACTCACGGTGGCTCTGTAGGACAGTGTGGACCTGCACCCTTTGCGTTTCTGAAACCATCCGTCCTTACAGGAGCCAACAGCCTCATTTTTCTCCCTTGGAGCAGCTGCGGGATTCAAACTTCTGACCTTGTGGTTGGCAGTCCAACACATAACTCCTTGCACGAAACCCTTGGAGAGTCAAGCGGAATCTACAGGAGCACGAAGTAGACGGGCAGGGTGGAGGCTACAGAAAGCAAGAAGGTGCTTCCTGGGGCCCAGGAGATGTCATGTGCCTTGACTGGGATGCGAGTTACAGGCCCCCTTGTCAACAGGCGTTCAAATGCACCAACCACTAAAGAGCGGTGCACCTGTTCCCTGTCCGTTACCGAACGCCCACGTTGCCTTTTTCAATAATGTCTGTGTGCAAGCGCAGGGAGCGAGTCACTTCTTCTGGGTGGGATGTGGCCCCCCAGTAAGTTTGAGAAAGCCACCACATGCCCTTGATCACTGCTGGGGTTCCAGAGATGCTGCACACACATACCCCCATGCTGGCGACCTTGGCAGACTTGAGCCCAGGTTTGCACTTGTGGAACCAGAAGGGCTGGGCCCCAGGTGGCTTTGACCTTGGATGAGTGACCCCACCACTGGTGCCTCTGTTTCCCTCAAATCTCCCAGGGAGATAAAGATAGGGTCCGACCTCAGAGGAGAGGGCACGGAGGCTATAATTAGATGCCTCAGGAGGCCCGAGGTCCTGGGCTCTGGGCCCGAAGAGAAGTGAGGGCTCAGGGGCTGGTGGCCGTGGTCATGGTCTTATTAGGGCTGAGGAAGAAGGGAGGGCCCAGCCATGGTCACTGCCTGGAGGCTGGGGGTGGACCGAGAGACTCGGCTGAAGCTGGGCCTCCTGTGGCATCACTGCCAGCTGTCCTCATCCTTCATGACCACCCCAGCTGTTCCCTCCTCCTGCCCAGGAAACCAGACCCGGATCACCACGGTCCTATTCTGGGCCCGGAATGCTGTGTCAGCAGTTCCTTGCTCAGACATGGGGTAGGAGGGTGCCTGGGAGTGGGGGGAATGGACTGATACAGACTAGCCCCAGTGGGGAGACCATGCCCCCATCCCATACTTACACTCTGCACCACAGGCGGAGCTCCTGGGAGGAAAAAGAGGGAAGGATTCTAGGATGGGCAGTTCCTCCCCCACTTGTCCCCTCCCTGTCCCCTGCCCAGGCCCCAGAAAAGCAGGCTATTCTGGGAGGGACACCTGTTGTTCCAATTCCCAACCCTACCCTCAGCCAGGGCACCGAGGTGTTCAGGAGACAGAACTGGAGAGACGCAGGCGGTCAGAGGGAGACACTACCCAGCGGGCCTGGGGTCCAGGGACAGAGAGAGACAGAGAGGAGCCAAAGAGACGGAGGGAGAGGCATGACGAAGAGACCCTCTTGCCCAAAGCCCATGGGGAAAGAAAGACCAAGGGACCCCCAGGAGACCACCCCCAAGGGCTGGGGGCTGAAAGGAGTCTGGTCCTCCAGCCCACCCCATGCACGTAACTAGGTCATATTCTGGAACACGGAGAGAATTAGGGCTAGGAAATGGAGGAGGGGGGTGGAGGGTGGGACTAAATTAAGCGGAGGCATGAGAACCGCCCTCCCCCAGTACCTGCTTCTAAGGTGGTGGGACAGGGTGCTCCCTCAACGGGCCCCCTTCTCCCAGACAAATCGCTAATGTCATAAGAGCAGGCAGCCACCCAAAGTGGCCGGCTGCCTGGTCCCGCCTGCAGTCCAAATCCTATTCATTATCTGTCGTGAGAAAGATGAGCGAGACTAAGAAAGGCAGAGGAGACACCGAGTGACAGCGATCCAAAGTGACAGACGATGCGACCCCGAGTCTCCGAGGCTACCAAGAAGCAGGACAGGAACACTCAAGGCCCCCCCGCACCACCACACACACACACACACACACACACACACACACACACACACTCAGAAACCCCCGAGAGAATGCCCCTTAACCCAGGGATACGCACCGTCCGCAGGAACTGGACCTCGTCCTCGCCCTCTCCTCCGTCACCCATGATGTTGAGGCCCCAGGGGCCGAGGCTGAGGTTGGGGGTTCAGGGCAGGGGGCCGCAGGTTGGGGCGGCGCGGCCAGGGGAACCGGAGAGGTAGATGGAACTGCAGGGAGGGAGCGCGTGCGGCACCCAGACGGGCGGAGGTGCCCGCCCCCCTTCTCCCATTGGATCAGGACGGCGTGGGCCACGCCCCATCCCTGCGACTCCGCCCCCGGACGGCTGGTTAGGCAGGTGGGAGGCGTGGGAAGGTTGGCTCGCTACTCCTACCTCGGGGGAGGGGCCAGGACTGTCGCCATTCCACAGAAAGTAAACTGAGGTTCTGAGCGAAGGGCACCTGGCCAACGTCACAGCAGGGCCGGGATGCACAGCTCTGGGGTTCCCGACGTGTCCAAACCGCTGAGCCCGCCTTGCTGGATTCAAATCCCAGCCCTGACACTCCGTTGTGTGACCTGGACCAAGCCACTTGGCAAGTCCCCATACCTCCGTTTCCTCTTTTGGCAAGAAGGAAACTAATGGAACCTACCTCCCAGCCTTGTAGCCAAGTTAATCCTCCAATAGGAGCTCATTTGTCTCTGCTGCGTGTGCATGTATAGAACCAAAATGTTTCCACAAAGGAAATTGCTCACTGTCATTAAGCCCCTTGCGACTCATTGTGACCCTATGGGGCAAACTAGAACTCTGCCCTTGTGCGTGTGCGAGGCTGTAAACCTTTATGGGAGTAAAAAGACAGCCTCATCTTTCTCCTGGGAAGCTGCTGGTGGTTTCAAACGGCTGACCTTGTGGTTAGCTGCCTAATGTGTAACCCACTCCACCGCCAGGACTCTAAAAAATACATAACCTTAAAGACGAGGCTTTCTACTCCTGTAGAGAGTTCTACTCGGCCCATGGGGTGGCTTTGAGTTGGCATCGGCTCAATGGCAGTGAAATATGGTTTGAAAGGCACCCTGGTGGGACAGCGGGCTGAGCTTGGGATTGCCAACCTCAAGGCTGGTGATTCAAACCCACCAGCTGCCCCTGGGGTGAAAGAAGAGCTGTCTGCTCCCATAAGTACATATAGTCATAGAAACCCAAAGGAGCAGTTCTATAGGGCAGTGGACCATATGGAATCGATCATATGGCAGTGACTTGTTTGTATCTTTAGTGTTGCTCTTATTATCATCATTAGTATTAAGGCTGCATGATCCAGCAGAAATAACAGCCACAGCCAAAGCCTCCTGTCTATCTCAAGCCCAAGCAGAGGCCATTCACTGGGCCTCATTTTGTTCTCACAATCCTTTTGCCCACACTATTGACCACTGCCGAGGAGTGGACTCTAACCCACAGTACCTCTGTAGACAGAGGAGGGCTCCGTAGGGTTTCTGAGACTGTGCCCCTACATGGGAGCAGGCAGCCTCCTCTCTATCTCGTGGAGCGCCTCATGGATTTGAACCTCCAACCTTACAGTGGTTAGCAGCCCAACACTTCCCCTCCTGTGCCACCACCGCCCTTCCACATGGGGTAGAGCCCTGTCGTGTATAACTCACTGCCGCGGGGTCCATGGCCACTCATAGCGACCCTACAGGGCAAGGTAGAACTGCCCCAGGGAGTTTCTGAAACTGTCACTCTTATGGGAGTAGAAAGCTCATCTTTCTCGCCGAGAGCAGCTGGTGGTTTCAAACTGTTGACCTTGCAGTTAGCAGCCCAACACATGAACACCATGCCATATAGTTTTAAGGAGATGCTGCATAGAGATCGGGTAGTCCTCACCACAATCTCTTCGGGTCAGTTCACTTAGTGTCCCCATTTGTTTACAGAGGAAGAGAGCTGAGCACGGACAGGTGGAGTGACTTACCCAAGGTCACACAGAGCCACAGCTGAGATTTGAACCCAGAGACAAGATTCGTAGTCATCTCACTTCACCAGCTAGACAGCTCCGGAACATCTCCTCACTGTGACAAAAACTGCTTTCCCAGCGTGGGCCCGGTCCCCAGGGTCTCACCTTGCCTCACCTCCCTGCTCCCTGACCCTTCCTGGGGCTCCCTGAATGCCCAGGTCCCTTTGTGCAGCTCAGTGCCCTGGGCTTCAGGCAGGACTGCCTCCCAGAAAGCTTCTGTGACCTGCTCTTTCCAGCTGCCCACCCCTGCACTGCTCGCCTTTGGCCAGAGGAGGCGCTGGCGCCACTAGCTCAAGGCCTGGTCTGCTGAGCCCAGGCCGCAGGCCTCAGCAGTTCCCCAAAACAGGCACCCCATATAGCAGCCTCCTGATCAGGCAAGCGGCTTCCTGCCTGCAGGCCTGGGTGTCCTCAGTTGGACTAATTCGGACTAGTCTCTGCCACCCAAGATGGGGGAATCATCAAAACCTTCATATGGTACCCGATTGATACAAGAAATCTAACACAGGGATTATTGTTAACATGCAATGGCATTAAGTTATGTAAAATATACTGTCGTTTAAATCTCTATCACATGTAATGTTTACATACATTTAGACATGCACACAATGTTGTACATATGTAATAGATTGCTGTGTCTATGTGAAATGCTGGTCTATGAATAAGTTGAAATACATCGCATGCAATGTCATGCCACAGTGCTGACTTCCGGGCTGGTGAAAGGGAGCCTGAAGAAGAATCTATTCCTTTGACTCATGGTGGTGGCAAAGGGCACTGAAAATGCCATGGCACAAAAGGACAAAGAAACCTGTCTCAGAGGAAATACTGACAGCGTGCTCCTTGGGGGAAAGGATGTAAGAGTTCCTCTTGCCTATCTCCGACGTGCCAGGAGAGAGCCAGTCCCTGCAGAAGGACGTGAGGCTGGGCAAAGTCGAGGGCCAATGAAAAGGAGGAAGGTTCTTGACGAGATGAATTGGAATGATGGCTGCAACCGCGGGCTGGAGCACAGAGCGGCTGCGCGATGGCAGCGCAGGACCAGGCAGTGTGTGGTTCTGCTGGGCTTGTGTTGTGTTGTGACGTGATGGCACCGAACAGCAATAACATAACCCATGAGGCAGGTACATAATCTCCTGTCAGCTTGCAAAGGGGTGAAGTCCAGTCTGTCAATCAGGTCACAGCTTGATGACCTCCCTTGGAGGCGTGATGGAGAGAAATAGCTCACTGGAGGCCAGACCCTCACTCTCTCCCTGGGAGACATTCCTGTTGACAAGACACATGGAGTTACACTGATGGAACCAGAGCCCTGGAGCTGGAGAAGGCACATGGAGACCCAGGCCAGTGCTGAGATGCTTCCATCGCCACTCGATCCACAAGGCCTTCTACCCACTGGCCGGTGATCTTCCTGCATTCAGCAACATTGCATGTACTGCATGAGTCTAAAGAATTTATGGACTAGGATTGGACATAGGGGGTAATCTCAGACTTATGGACTTGATCTGGACTGGGCTGGGATGTTTTCTCAATAGACAACTAGTATTTTATATACCTCTCTTTCTTATCCATATATGAGTGTCTCTGAATGTTTCTCTAGTCCACCCAGACTAGCACAATACATAATTCTCATCTCTGCCCATGCTCAGATAAATTATATATGTCAATATGATGATATGTTCTATGAGAAAGAGGAGAACTCGCAGGGAGATGGATTGACACAGCAGCTTGCCACAGCGGCTCGAATGTAAGACAGACTGACGACGTGGGACTCGCAGCAGTCCCTTCTGTGGGACATGGGGTCACAGTGAGTGAACACCCACTGGAGGCACCTCACAACAGCAGCAGGGTATAGTGCATGCTCGAACATTAAATGCTGGTTTTCTTGACATTTCAAGCTACTAAAAATACTTATAATTTGTAAGAGAAAATGATTCTGGAAAAGAAGAAAGAAAATGAGTCTGTGTCACGGTGCATTATATCATACATTCGTTTTCCTTTGTCATTGTTATCTGAGAGGCTTCGAAAGTTCATAGGGGGAAAAAAAGTTCATAGGAAAATTCCACCATCTTTTCATGCCATTTTCCACGGACTGCTTGGTGCCCCCACGTTCGTCTCCAGATCCACCAGGCTGGTCTGTGCACACCCGGTCTGTGGCTGCTGGTGGCCTGGCATGTCCCCTTCAGTTTCCTCACTTCCCAAGGAAGGGACACCCCCAAAATGACATTGCAGTGGACATCCTGATGGAGCTGAGTGAGGATGTTTGGGGACTTACCTTCTGGAGCTAACTGCTTGCTGAGTGATGGTTAGTGCACTTACTCCTTGGAGTCTTTCAGGAATGGCTGCCTGCAGGCCCTCTCCCAGCAGTTATGTTTGCCTGGCCAGTAAGATAACTCACTGCCCTCTTATTTTGCATTTCCCAGAGTGGTTACTGACCAGTAGCTTTGAAAACCTTCTTCACATGCTTGCCAGAATTTGGGAGCTCTGGTGGCAGCGTTCAAAGTAACACTTTGGGCTGCTAAGTGCAAAGTCAGCTGTTCGACACCAGCCGCTGCTCCAAGGGAGGAAGCTGAAGCTGTCTACTCCCGGAAAGAGGTACCGTCTCAGAAACCCATCGGGGCAGTTCTACCCTGTCCTCTAGGGTCTCCATGGATCAGAATCCACGCGAAGGCAGCGAGTTTGGTTTGGGGGTTGACCCTGACTGGGCTGAGGAGCCTTCCTGGGCAGTGGGTGAAGTTGGGGCTGCCCACCCCCAAATGGGTTGTCCTAACCCCTCAGATGCTCCTCAGGCAGAGAGCCAGGCAATGCCCTGATGTGAAGACCGAGGGCCCCGAAATTCAGCCGAGCTGCTCTCCTGCACCCGTCAGATAGGGTCGCTCTGAGAAGTGATTCAGGGGCGCTCAGTTCAGGACGCGCTCCTTGAGCACTGTTGGTTCGGGCGGCTGTCTTCTTGCTTGCTGATTTTCACGGGCTAATTTTTCCTCATCCACTTAGAACATTGCAAGTGTCTCCATCTTCCCATCTGCCTCCTGACGTCTGTCCCGCGGCATCCTTCCTGAAGCAGGAATCCTTACTTGTGCATGCTCTTGAATCCATCTTATTCTTCTTCTGCCTTCTGTGCCTTGGCGGGTCTTTCCGGAGTCTCTTCTTCCGGGGCTTGTCAGCCCCATGCGTGGTGAGTGTTGGCACTAACCATCCCTCTGGGTCTTGGGGGCGGGTACAAGTTCCAGGGCCTCCCCCCTCCCCTGCCAGGCTGCTCTGAGTCCCCAGAGCCTGGAAACACTCCCCGGGAGTGTTTCCACCTGGAGCACCACGTCAGAGAGGCAGAGGCAGATGCCTGGTGCTCAGGAGAACGGGCTGAGAGAACCGCAGGCACCACATTCCAGACTACTGCTGAGGGAGAGGGAGGGGGAGGAGGGGGAGAGGCAGGAGGAATCAGCAAAGGAGAGTGCCCTTCCGAGCCTGTGGGCTGTAGGCCCTGGAAAAGCTGCAGAGTGGACTGTTGTATGTTGTGTTCTGGCATTAAAAAATATTTATCCAGGGAGACATCTTATCATGAGGAAAAGAAGCAAAAATAGATCAGGAGGAGAACCTTCCGGTGGGATCAACTCACAAAGCCCGCATCTTAGTTATGAGGTGTTGTTGTAAGCCTAATGCCACAAGGAGGTGGCCTTGCCCAAACCCACTCTCTCATCGAGTGCGAGTGCATTCAGATTCATAGTCACCGTTCTCAACCTGGGGGGAGCGACCCCTTTGGGGGCCGAACGACCCTTTCACAGGGGTCGCCCGATACATCACAGTAGCAACATGACAGTGATGAAGTAACAACGAAAATCTTTTGATGGTTGGGGGTCACCACCACATGAGGAACTGTCTGAAAGGGGCGCGGCATGAGGAAGGTGGAGAACCATCGCTCTAGGATATAGTAGAACTACTCCTTAAGAGTTCCCAAGGAGGGTCGAGGGAGAGTGGGTTGAAAAGAGGGAACCGATTACAAGGAACTATACGTGACCTCCTCCCTGGGGGACAGACAACCGAAAAGTGGGTGAAGGGAGACGTCGGACAGGGCAAGATATGACAAAATACCCATTTATAAACTATCAAGGGCTTATGAGGGAGGGGGGAGCGGGGAGGGAGGGGAAAAATGAGGACCTAATGCCGGGGACTTAAGTGGAGAGGAGATGTTTTGAGAATGATGAGGGCAATGAATGTACAAATGTGCTTTACACAATTGATGTGTGTATGGATTGTGATAAGAGTTGTATGAGCCCCTAATAAAATGTTAAAAAAAAACACACAAAAAAACAAAAAAAAACACAAACAAATAAATAAAAAAAAATGGAAAGAAAAAAAAAAAAAGAGTTCCCAAGACTGGGTGCCTGCACAGAACACACCTTTCCTCACAGTTCCGGAAGCTCAATACCTCAGTCAGGGTTTCAAGCCATTGATGGCTTCCTTGTTCTGGGCCTTCCTTCAGCTCTGGGCCTGAAGGTGATCCTCACACTATTTGTTTTTCCTGTGTGTTTCTCTAAGTCTATCCTGGTCTTCTTGCAAGTCAGAGGTATTTCTTTTAAAGAGCTTGAGTTTTGAGGTCACCCTACACGGGTATGACTTAATTCACATTGTGTGAGTCCAGGTAGACTAGAGAAACAAATTCATAGTCCCTCAGATGTGTATAAGAAAGAGTTTTCTATCAGAGAGCAGTTGAATATTGAGAAAACAGCCCAGCCCAGTCCAGATCAAGGCCATAAGTCTGATATTAGCCCCTATGTCCAATCCTAGTCCACAAAGTCTTCTTTAGACTCATGCAGTGCATGTAATGAATGTTGCTGAATGCAGGAAGATCACAGGCCAGTGGGTGGAAAGTCTTGTGGATCCAGTGGCGGTGGAGGCATCTCAGCACTGGCATGGGTCTCCACATGGCTTCTCCAGCTCCAGGGCTCTGGTTCCATCAGTGTAGCTCCATGTGTCTTGTCAACAGGAATGTCTCCCAGGGAGAGAGTGAGGGTCTGGCCTCCAGTGAGCTATTTATCTCCATCATGCCTCCAAGGGAGGTCATCAAGCTGTGACCTGATTGACAGGCTAGACTCCGCCCCTTTACTCTTAATCCTCTCAAATTGACAACAGTTTATGTAACTACCACACACCTCAAAGAAAACCCTAGGCCCCAATAGGATTACATCCACAGGTCCAAGGGCCAGGCACTCAGAGACTATTTGGAGAAGAAACCATTTCATCCATAACCCTATATTTGGCAGGACCATACAAATGACCACCGCCCACTTATTACCACCTGGGTCTCCCCCACATCGAATGTCATCCACATCTGTCCACTTGTGCTGAGAGGTTCTGAGTCTTCACAGCAGCCCCCAGCTGGAAACCACTCATATGTTCATCCACAGGAAAATTAATCCAGACATGGTGGAACTGGCATGCTGTGGAATACTATACAGCCAGGAAGATGCATGTCCTACAACCACCTGCCTTCACAAGGAAGACGCTCAGGGCTGTGATGTTGAACAAAAGAAGCAGGGAGCCAGACCATTCTATTTATATACAGCTTAAAACCAGGCAAAACGACTCTATTAGAAGACTGTACTGGTAGTAACTTCTAAGAAATTCTGACTAGGGGCCAGAAGGCTCTGTATCATCATTTATGTCATCAGAGTGTGTTAATTTGTGACAATTCTTCATCCTGAACATAACAGATGTTCTGTTTTGAACATCATTAAGAAAATATGCTGCAAAAAAAAAATATGTCTCCCCACATGGAAGAAGCACACCAGCCTGTGTGACCGCATGCTGTCGAAGGGATCAGGTATCAAGCATCAAAGAACAAAAAATTATATTATTGTAAATGAGGGTGAGTGCAGAATAGAGACTCAAAGCCCATTGGTAGACAACTGGACACCCCCTTACTGAAGGGCTGTGGGGAGGAGATGAGTCAGTTAGGGTGCAGGGTAGCAACGATGAAACATACAACTTTCCTCTAGTTCTTTAATGTTTCCTCCCGCTCACTATTATCATGATCCCAATTCTACCTTACGAATCTGGCTAAACCAGAGAATGTACATTGGTACAGATAGCAACTGGAAACACAGGGAATCCAGGACAGATGACTCCTTCAGGACCAGTGGTGAGAGGGGCGATGCCTGGAGGGTGGAGGGAATGTGGGGTGGAAAGGGGGAACCGATTACCAGAATCTACGTATAACCTCCTCCCTGAGAAATGGACAGCAGAGAAGTGGGCGAGGGGAGACATCGATCAGTGTTACATATGACAAAATAATAATTTATGAATTATGAAGGGTTCATAAGGGAGGGGGGAGGGGGAAGGGGGGAAGAGGAGCCGATATTAAAGGCTCAAGTAGAAGGCAAATGTTTTGAGAATGATGATGGCAACAAACGTACAAATGTGCTTGACACAATGGCTGGCTGGATTGTGATAAGAATTGTACGAGCCCCCAATAAAATGATTTTTTAAAAGAATATGTCTCACATGATAGACTGACCATGTTGTCAGGAGGGAGAGGCCGGTTCCTGGAGACAGCCATCACGCTGGATAACGCAGAGGGCAGCGAAAAAGCGGAAGGCCCGAGACGGACGGACAGAAATGCCCCCAGCGGAGGGCGGCCGACCAGGCCGTGTTTTGTTCCGTTAGACTCTGGCCTGCTCTGTTACATGGTGTTGTAACAAAGGCATGAAAGGGTTTCTGGGGGTAGAAATCGTGCCATCCAAACAGCTTAGCACAGAAGGGAGAAACCAGAGAAGGCATAGAGTGGCTTCTGTACGTTTCCACGCAAACCTTGCGGCATGGCCCTCCAGTCGGATAAATGAGCGCGTCTTTTTCAAAACAGACACTTCGCTTTTGAGTGGTTGGGGGGGGGCCTTTCTTGTACATAAATGTGTCTTATTACTGAAGAAGAAGAAAAAAACACCACCAGAAGAAAGAAAACCGCCCTGTTTTTACTGAAGAGAATCACGGGGTGAGCGACAGAAAGATCGGGGAGATAGAGAGACCGCGGGGTGATTGGGGTGGAGGCGGGCAGCACCGGAAACCTCAGGCTGCAGGGATCCCCATGCGCGGGGGGAGGGGGCCCTCGGTCCCTTCGAAGCCTCTTCCTTCCCCCTGGCCTGGGCCTGGGTGGGGAGGGCCAGTTCCTCTTCCCCTCTGCGAGAGCACGGGGGAGTCCGGCTCTCACCAGGAGCTGAGAAGCTGGAGCCCCAGCGAGGGGGGAGGAGCCGAGCCCCACTCGGCCAGGACCCCCTCCCCCTCATGAAGCATGAACAGGAAAGATAGCAAGAGGTGAGAGGACCCTCCCAGGAGACTTCAAGCATCACAAAGCCCCGGCGCCTTGGGCTGCCTGGGAAGGCAGGGAGGTAGGGTGCCCGCGACGCACCCCACCCTCTTCCTCCCCCAAAGATCTGAAACAAAGGGGGGGGGGGGGGGCTGCCAGGTAGAAAGATGCTTCAGACCTTTCTGCAGAGGGATCCCCAACATTTGGGTCAGCCCCCAAGTGCTGTTCACAGCTGCCCCCATCCAGGGACTCACGGTACCGGTACCCGGGGTCCATGGTGCAGGTAGTGAGGGTCCTTGAATAAGCGCTGGGCATTTTTTTTGAGTGGTCAGGAGGCACCGGACAAGGGTGAGCTCCCTGTCTGGATCAGAGCTACGTAAGGCTGTGGCTGTTTGTACCTGAACGGCTGCACCTTCTCCTCCCCCTGTGTCTCTCGCCCTCCCCTGCCTCTCCTGGGTGTCTCTGCCCTCCCTGGGGTCTTACTCTTCCCCATCACAGCCATGCCCCCTGCACTGGAAACTCCAGACTCCTGCAGGGCCCTGCCCCGGGGGAGGGGAGTGTGACGTGGGCCAGGCGCCGTCTGCCTCTTTAACCTGGTTCTGCAGTCAGCGCGGGAGCTCACAGTTCACAGACCTGGGGCCGGCTGGCTAGGCCCACAGCTTCGGAGTTGGAGCTGGGCACCACCGAGCATGTTTGCCCTCCTGTCCCCATGGGGTCAGGTGGTAGCTGACTCCCTCATGTGGGTGCCCCCCACCCCAGAATACCTCTGATAAACAGAGTGATCCCCTTCCGAGATTAGACAGCACTTTAGTGGTGGAAACCTGGCTGAACCTTTTCCCAGCTGCACGTCCTTGGGTAAGTTACTAACTTCTGGGTCTCCGTTTCCTCTTCTGTGTGGAGGACAGTAGTTCCCACCCACGTGGGGGAACTTGTAGGTCCTCACTCAGGGAGAGTCTCAACTCTCTAACTTGAGCTAGCATCCAGACTGGCCGGAGGAGTTGTGAAACCCAGACTCCTGGGCCTGCTACCTCCCAGGACTCTGAGTCTGCAGCTCGAGAGTGGGCCCTGAGAATGTGCATTTCTAACAAATCCCTAGGTGAGACGACTGTTACTTTTAGGTTAGGAACGGGGGTGTTGTTTTTGTTTTGCTTGTATTAACCACTGATAGAGAGCTCAACCCTGAGCCTGGTGAATCTTAGGCACTTTGGTCATGCCCAGCATGGAGTCACCGGCGTTCAGTACTAATGTACTGAGCCTTCAGCATGTGCCAAAGAACCTGGTGGCACAGCGGTTACAAATTGGGCTGCTAACCACCAGGTCAGCAGTTTGAAATCACCACGCACTTGGAGGGAGGAAGATGAGGCTTTCTACTCCTGTCAAGAGTGACAGTCTCCGAAACCTGCAGGGGGCCAGTTGTACCCTATCCTGTAGGGTCTAGACCAGTAAGCATCGAATCCGTGGCCGGGAGTTTGTGTTTTGTCTTGGTTCAGCCTGTGCCAGGAGCCCTGCGGGGGTGCCCACAGTTGGCTAACCCAAAATACGGAGACTCAAGTCCACCCAGAAGCACCTCCCCCACCCCCCCGCCCCCGTGGAGGCCCCACTGGAGCACCGTTCTCCTCTGACACGTGTGGGTCCCCGGCTCTGGAGCTGACTTGAAGGCAACTGGCTTGGGATGGGTTGGGTTTGGCAACGTGCCCGCAGGCAGCCCCATGAGGAGGGTCTTCCTGCTTCCAGTTTCCCCCTCTTTCCCTCCCCAAACCCCTCAAACTCATGCCATCTAGTCAATCCTGACCCAGGGACCCCCTAAGACCGGGTAGAACTGTTCCCGGGGTTTTCTGAGAGTAACTTTTTAATGGGAGTAGAAAGCTTCCAGCCTTTTCCCTCGAAGGGCATAGTGCTTTCCAAAGGCAGAGCTCACGTGTACAGGTAACCACGAGGCTCCTCCTGGTATTGAGGTCTCTCTCTGCCCCCCCACCCCCAACCCTTCAGGTCCACCTTCCCACCTCAGCCCTGGCCCACTCAGTCGTTATTTCTGGTTTGGGGGGAAAGCCAGGCCCTGGGTGGTCAGTAGGGACTAGGGAGGGTCCAAGGATGGCCCTCCTTTGTCGTAGGAGGAAACAGAAGCCGGAGAGGTTAAGGGCCTAACAGAAAGTCACGCAGCCAGATGACAGACTGACTGATGGGAACCCAGTTCTTCCTGAGCCCTGTAACCAAGGCCCAGACGCCTGGTTCAGGTCCTTCCTTCCCCAGCACCCTCCTCTCTCCATTACCCTCCGTCCCCAAGCACAGCAGGGTTATTTTTAACCTTTCCTTGAAGCTGCGTAGCTCTAGGGGCCCCACTGGCTCCAGGGAGCCCCGCGTGTGCTCTCTAGGCCCCAGACTGTGGAACCTGGGCTGGGATTCTGAGATGAGATTCCAGAACCTGCTGTGTTGAAG